CGCTGCGGGATCGTGTCCGGGCCCTTTTCCCGCTGGGAGGAGTGTGGATCCTGCAGGGGGCAGGGGAAGGGTCCCCCCAGCTCAGCCCCTCCTCCTCCCCCAGGTGTGGTTCCAGAACCGACGGGCCAAGTGGCGGAAACGGGAGCGGTACGGGAAAATCCAGGAGGTGAGAGATGCCAGGGAGGCTGCTCCAAACCTGTCCCCTCAGTCCCAGGAGAGGGGTCCCGTCCCGCTGCACCTGCGGGTGCCCCACATCACCCATCCCTGCCCCTTCTCCCCTGCAGTCCCATCCACCCTGGATAGAAAAGAGCAAAATCCSCATTTTGCCACACGCGGGAAGATGCGGCTTTATGTCCCACTCCATTTTCCGTGGGAAATGCCCTCTGGGGCACGTTTTGGGATGTTCCCCCCTAAACCCCCTTCAGCTCTCCCCCATCCATAAGTGCTTCCTGCCCCCCTTTTCTGCAAAACTGCCCTTTCCCCCTCCTGAAATCAAAAAGCATACAAACATTTTAAAACTCGGCTTCACGCGCATCCCTGGAGCCAAACTCTCCCGGGGGAATATTTAAACCAGGATTCAATTCTCTCGAGGCCACTATAACAGAGCAAAGGCACGCCTCCCTCTGCACGCTGTGGGTTTGGGGGATGAGAGGGGATGAGCGGGATCCAGGCTGGGGTGAGAGGGTGACAGTGGGATCTAAAGGGGAACAGGGAGAAACTRAGCAGGGAGTGATGTCCCCACCCTCATTTGGGTTTTTTTGTTTGTTTTTTTTTCATTTCAGCTGCATAACAACCCGTGGCCGAGCCCTGGGAGCCCCCCGGGGCTGCTGCCCCCCGAGAGCATCCCATCCCCCTGCATGTCCCCGTACCCCCCAACTCACAGCAACGGTTTCATGGGCATCCCCGGCTCCCCGGGCCCCCACCCCGGCATCAACAGCCTGTACCCCCTGCACGGGCTGCCGCCCCCCGGCCTGGCCCCCCACCCGTTCGAGCCGCCCCCCCAGCACGAGTACAAGGCGCCCACRCTGATGCCACTGAGGATGAAGAGCAAAGAAGGGGCCGGGAGCCTCCTGAGCTGGGCCACATGATCCCCCCGCGGGATGGACACGGAGCCTTCATCCCCCCGGAGTGTTCCCCCTGCTCCCTGGCACCAGGGAGGGGGCTCAGGGTGMTGGGGTCACCTTTCCTCCCTCTCTGCACACCCCGAGCGTTCCCGCATCCATCAGGGTGCTGCTGCCCCCCTACCCCCGCTAAGGGGGGGGTCAATGGGGGGCTGTGGGGAGGAAAGAGGCACCCCCCAAACCCAGGCTACCCCAGCGGGGCTGGCACTGGCAGTTCGGGGCCCCAAAAGCGGCTCCCCAAAATCCCCGAGCTCTCCCAGCACCTTCAGTGCTGCAGTGGGATTTGATGGAGAGTCCCAGTGGTTTCCCCACCATTCCTATGTTCCCCCAGGTCCCAGACCAAGCAGCTGAGGAGGGCACTGTGACAGGGCAGGGGAGTTTTGGGGGCAGTTCTCCCCTCCACAGCTGAAATTTGGGCACTCACCCCGTGCCCAGTGCAACCAGCAATGGCAGAAATTGGGCTCTTCCTCTCCCAGTCCCATACTGGACTGGACTGGRACAGCTGCTGGTGCTGGGGGGGTTACTGGGGGCAGAACCAAGGAGCCCCTAAACCCCCTAAAGCATCACAGCTCGTCCAGCTCCCCCTTGGAGGGAAAATGAGACCTTGGCACAGCTCCTGGAGGCCACCGAGCCCCCTGGGATGGGCAACCAATCCATGGGGTGGGGGCTCCAGGAATAACAGATCCCAAATTAAAGGCCTTTTCCCTGGGGGAGTCACCCTGTTACCCCTCAGGAAGGTGTTTTAACCCCAGCAGGTGGGACCCCTCCCAAGTGCTCCAATGGGGTGTTGGGGGCACTGCTGCTCAGGTTGGGGGGGGTTCTGCATTTTTGGGGTGTTGTTACTGGTGGTGGGTCTGGGGGGGGAGGGGGGCACCTCGCTGTATCCAATGTGTCTCATCTGCTCCGGGGGTCCCCAGGGGGGCATCCCGAGTACCCCCGAGTGCCAGCGTGTCCTGTCCCCTCCCCCACCGCAGGGAAACACCACAAACACAGCCAGGAACGGGGGCTCCCCTGGCCCTGCTCRCCCCAGCACCGCGAGATGCTGGTGCCACTCTGGGTCCAAACCCCCTCCCTGCAAATCRGCAATGCCACCCTGCCCCAGTTCCTACCCCCACCTCCTGATGGGGGTGACACCCCCGTGGGGCACCTGCACCCCCCCAGGGAGGCACCAAACCCGATTTGGGCCAAACCCCAAGGTTTTTCAGGCAAGCCCCACCACCCTGGGCACTCCAGGAGGCAGCCCAGGGATGCCCACCCCACCCAGAACATCTCACACCCCTCCCACCGGTGGGGATTTTGTTATTCATTTCTAAACAATAAAGCACATTTTTCGTAAGTTAATGATGGCTCCGGCAGCCCCATGAAGCCAGRGGGATGGGGATGGGRATGGAGCRTCCCACCAGGCTCYTCAGGCCACTTCTGGTGCAGGGAATGGGTTTGGGGGSCCAGGTGGGTGCCAGTGGTGGGGGGCAGAGTGCTGGGGACACATCCAGAGCCTGGCTCTGTGCTGCCCACAGGGGAACAGGTCAGGGCACAGCACTGGGGGCTCCAGATGGATCTGGCTCCATGTCACCCCTGGCTGAGGGGGAAGAGGGCAGGATGGAGCCCTGCAGATCCAGGGCACGTTACCATCGATGCTGAACCCACGGGGGTTCTCTGATGTCTAACAAGGCTGAATTGCTGCTTCCAGGGCTRGGGCTGAGCATCCCCACCCTTGGATTCACCCCTGGAGCTCCCCAGGCTCAGCTCCCAGCAGGTGACAGGTGGGAACTGGGGCTGTCCCAGGCTCCCTCTGCCCACAGCCATCTCTGCCAATCAAATCAGGGTGAATCCCCCAGGATCTCATYTCCCAGGGCTGCTGCTGCCCCTCAGCCAAGGAAACTGAGGCTAGGGGACGGACAAGGCAGGATTTGGTGTCAGGATCCTCTGCTGGGAGCAGGGACCAAAGAAAATGCCAGTGGTAACATCACAGTGGTGTCAGAAATCACCAGTGGGGGAGGGTTCAGCAACGGGACAGACAAATGTCTGTGAGAACCTGCTCTCCCCGAGGCCACCAGAACCCCAAACCAACAGACCTGGGTGCAAGGTAACACTAAATCCTCTGCTAAGGGATCACATACCCCCTGGGATTTGAGGGGTGTGTGGGGAAAAGGACCCAGCTCAGCCCCAGGCAGGAGGGACAGGGACACGGACAGAGCCTGGCCACACTCGGGGCAGAGGTATCACCAAATATATATAATATATACAGCTCCTGCACCCCTCACAGGATGAAAGGAGGCTATCCCGGCCCCTCCAGCCCCCCTAAACCCCCAGAGGGGCTGGGCAGGGCCAGCCTGRTGTCCCACCCAAGGGACCCACTCCCACACTGCCACCTGCTCCCCCTTCCTGGCTGGGGGGCCACGAGCAGGGTGGTGCCTCCTAAAGAATCACACGGGGTGGGCAGAGACCCCCACCCAACAGGAAACCCCAGGGCACCCTCAGCTCTGGGCTGAGCCTGGAAGGAGGCAGAGGGGCAGGATGCAGTGTCAGCAAAGACCCCCAGCTTCAYCCTCCTCCCAMGCYCACCAAGCAGCACAATCACCCACARACCCCCCCAAACCTCGCTCCCCTGCCCCAGGCAGCCTCGAGCTCTCCAAGCCACCCCTCCAGTGTCCCYGTGTCCATCACTGCAGCAGCTCCTCCCAGGAGATGGGCCGGGAGAAGACCTCCCGCTCCAGCCACAGGTCGTAGTTGATCTGGAAATCCTCAGGCAGCTCCACACGCTGGCCCAGCACGCTCTGCAGGCAGTTATCCACCGGCAGGAAGTCGGGGTTGCCGTGGGCACGGTCGTAGCGCCGCGAGTTGAAGCGCTCGATGCTGGCACGCAGGGCGCACTCCTCYGCCTGGAAATCCCAGGGACGGGCGTCCAGGTCTGGGAACAGGGATGAGATGGGTCAGAGAGGAGCTGAGGATCCTTCAGCCAGCCCAAATCCCTCGCTGGTGGGGTTTAAGCCCAGCCAGACCCAGCCCCGTGCAGCCACACGAGCTCATTCCCCCACCAGCCAGACCAGGGAAGAACTGGGATGGGAAAAGCTGGAAAATGGGTGGGTCAGGATAAAGACAGCTCAATRAAGACAGCAAAAGCCATGCACACAAGGAATGAAAAACAAGGAATTAATTCTCTGCTTCCCAAGGGCAGGGAGGTGTTCAGCATCATCAGGAGAGAGGGCCCCATCCTGGGGAATGATGACTTGGGAAGACAAACACCATCATTCCCAACATCCCAGGGAATGATCACTCCCAACATCCCAGGGAATGATCACTCCCAACATCCCAGTAATGATCACTCCCAACATCCTGGGGAATGATCACTCTCAACATGCCAGGAATGATCTCTCCCAACATCCTGGGGAATGATCACTCTCAGCATCCCAGGGAATGACCACTCCCAACATCCCTGGGAATGATCACTCCCAATATCCCCAGAAATGATCACTCCCAACATCCCTGGGAATGATCACTCTCAACATGCCAGGAATGATCACTCCCAACATCCTGCAATTCTTCTCTTTCCCTCCACTTTAAATTCTGAGCATGATGTTACAGGGTCTGGAATTTTAAAGCCCTTTGGTTCTGTCTCCTCCCAACAACTCATACAGCCCCAGTCCCCTTCCAGCTGGGAAAGGTCTTTGTTAGAAGTCCTCACAAAGTGCACCAATAGCTCCACCACCACTTCCAGCATCCCCACCACAAGGAAACAACCACAATGTAGCCCAGGAATGGGGGCTCCCCTTGGCCCCACTGGCCCCAGCACCAGGAAATGCTGGTACACCCCCAAGGACACTCTTGGGGCAAAAGAAACCCCAAAAACCTGCCACCCTGCCCCAGCTCTCACATCCTGATGGTGRGAGTGGGACACCCCAGCGAGGCACCCAGAACCCCTCAGGGAGGCACCAAACCTGCTGCTCCAGCCCAGTTTAGGCCAAAAAAGGAAGGTTTTTCAGCCATGATTTGGCACCCCTAGCAGAGCCCTGATCCCTGCAATGTYACCACCCCAAATCCCTCCTGGGATTGTGTCTGGCTCAGCTGGAATTCATTTTCCCATAGGAGCCCTCTCAGTGCAGGGCTTTGCAGGGGGAGCTGGGAAGGTTTTAAGAACCCACCAGTACTTTGGCTCTGCTGGACACAGCTGGCACAGCACCAGCGCTGTCTCCCAACATTCCCACCCCACCAAATGGATGGAAGTGGGCAATGGGAGGSGACACAGCCAGGCCAGCTGACCCAAATTAGCCAAGGGAATATTCCAGACTCTGTGATGTCAGCTCAAGTACAAGAGCTAAGGAAAGCAGGAGGAATGGAGTGGCATTCGTTATTTAAAAGAG